AACATCACCTTTGCTTGATAGTTAATCCAATGAAAAATATTTAATCAAGTGCACAGCCCTACACTAATTCTATAGTTTTCATATTAAAATTATCAGTGGCATCGTACACTTATTTCCTATGTTTCCTTATTAACCCATAAACACGTAATTCTTTGGAGCTTGTTTCCATGGGTGACCACGTTTGCACATATTGCTAAGTCAAGCCATAGTTTATTGTGAACGCACAAATTCTCCTGGGTCTTTGTAGCTGTGATGTGGCAGCTAAACTAAAGTTAGTCTTAGCTTGTAATCCTAACCCAGGCTCATGGTTAAGCTGTCTCCTCCTTAACCATCAACCAAGCCAAGGTTTGCTCTTGGTTAGAACTTGTGCTTAAGGAGAAGAGAACTTAACCATGAGTTCAGATTCAGACAGCACACTAAGACGTGCATTGGCTTAGCTGCCATGCCTCACTGAATTAAAGGGAGGAGCAAAGTGGGAGTGAACTACTATCACGTTCATATCATTTAATTCTATTAAGCTTTGTATATTAATAAACTGAGTGCTTCATTTTTGGTTAAAATTGGGGGTCTTTGTTTTTTATTGTGTAAGCTTTACTCCCTAGTCCACTAGGAAGCTACTGAGCAAAATTAGAACCAGAATTGGGAATCAATGGGTGTTAGTGCATTGGCCAGAGTTTTGCATGGTGAACGCTGATGTTGATTGGACCACAAGACTAACATCCAGGAGACACCTTTTTTGCACAATCCCGGTAGTTTGGCTTACCATGCCACGGAACCAGACATCTGTGTGCATGCATCTATGTCCATGCACATATATTAAGATGGAAAGTTGAATATGTTTAGGGCCATACTTCTGGAATTTCTTGGACATATCCAGCATTCATCCATCGGAAATAGCATCTGGTCGGAAATTCCAAAAATTGGGGGAAATGTCGGAAGTGTTGATTTTTTGGTGAATTTTTTTTTAAAAAAAAACATTTTTAGGGTGTGTGTTTTTTGCAAAATACCACACCCCTCTCTCAAAAAAACTCAACAACTTTTGTGCCCAGATTTTCACTTTTTGTAATAACCCTAATTATGTTTCTCTGTTTTAAATGTGATATATGTGTGGTTAGCAGAGCAATTACTTAGATTTTCTTATATGAATAAGTATGCATAGCTCAATAAGGTCAAATACATGTAGGTATTTTGCAGACGACAACAAGAAAACCTGTCTATAGGCACATCTATTTTTGGATTAGATGGCTGTTTCTGCTCCTTCATATTTTTTCCCAATACTAAAGTTTAGCCACCATACTACGAGGGGGAAACTTACATTTCCAAGTTTTTGGGGGGTATGAAAAAAGATAATACAATACAGCATACACTCAGCTCCTATGGCTAAAAACAAAACTGAGACGTCATACTTAAAATGAGGAAACTAGTCAAACTGGGGCTTTCATCTTGTCTCTTGATTTGAACAGATAATCAAAGCTCTAGTACGAAGATTTTGGCAGAGACAGGAGGGTTGCGTTAGGCTTTGGAGAAAATGCTAAATTTAGCTGGATAAAAATTCTTGTAAGCAGGAGATAGGATGATATCTGCCTTCTTCAAAGGTCTTTCAATGACATCTGTGCTGTTTGCTAGCTCCTCCAGATGGCAACAAGAGTGCTCAAATGATAAGAGGATATTGCACCAATTATGTTCTATTTACATTGGCTGCCAATTTGTTGTTGAGCCCAGTTTAAAGTGCTGGACTTCACCTTTAAATTTCTTAAGTGGTTTGGGACCATGTTACCTGGAGGTCCTCCTGTACCTGTCTGAGCCTAAGGGAGCTTTATAATCAGCCTGGGAGACCCAGCTCTCTGGCCCATCAATAAGACTCCTGTCACTAGGAATCAAAGGAGAACATACTAGTGATAGCCTCCACTGCCATTTATGCCAAAACTGAAATGTGGAGAGTGTAAATGGATTATGGTTGTTGTTTTTAAGAAAAGAAGTTGGTATATCTTCAAATAGTAAAGACCACAGGGTTCTTATTCAACATTAGATGCTGTATTTTAATTGAGTACTTTTTAGCTTCCCAGAAAATATTGCGTAATTTTGCAAGGCTGAAATGCATCATGGTACATGTCAATATTTGGGAGTCTCCAGCCTCCTTTATCCAGTTTTCTAGACAAAATTCTCAGAGCCAATCTCAATCTCTTTTCATTCTTTGAAAAACAGAGAAATTGCCTTCCAACAATACAGTGACATTTTTATATATTCAATGAAATATCTACATGGTGGCATTATTTGCATAAGCGCTATATTGTTTGTCTCCTATTGCAACCCTTCCCTGTACGTTTTTGCTGGATAATTTCTATTTCTATTTTAAATTTCAAAAGACAGTTCAAGCAACAACATTATTGACTCTGTGTATGTCATGCATTCATATCAGAACAGTAACTGGAGAATCTCCAAAGATTTAAGTGAGATGCACATAAAAGAATGAATAGTTCTGCATGGATGATTTGCCAGCAACCTTCCTTCAAACATGGCGTATATGTTTTGCATGAAAAGTAACAAAGTGGTCAGAGTGACCCCAGGTGATTAGAGCTTCCAGGTGTTACTAGAAAACATGCATATCATGACTCAAAGATAGAAAGTGGAATCCAACCAAGTACTTCTGCTGGTGTAAGGATTTTTGGCTGCACAGTGGAAATTCCCCTCCTTTTCCTCTCCTTGTGTGTTCAGGATAAAATGTGGGGAGAAGGTGTACCAGAAGAAGAAAGGAACAGGTTCCATTGCACAAGTGCAAATCCTGCACTAGCAGAAGTACTTAATCAGATACTGCCCACAGCAATTTGCCTTAGACCAAGTGAGGCCTTTAGTCCATGAGCTCAGCATTGTGTACATTAACTGCCCTCCCAAGTTTTCAGTTTCCATTCCTACCTCAAGCTGCCAGGAATTGAACCTGGGTGACTTTTCACAGGCAAGCAGACCCTCCAAGTTTGCCTATTCTCCAACGACAGTCCCATATTTACAGAAGCTGTCCTGGTTTCCAGTTTGATCCTGGGATGTTCCGCTTTTCCTTAGGACGTAGCTATTTTCACCGGAGAAATGTTAGAGGATATGACACATGCTGTAGCGGTGTTTTATATTATTATGCTTTGTTTTGTATTTGATTCCTGCACACAGTCAAAATGTAGTCTCTAGGCATGCATGACCATATTGCTGTTTGCTTTGTTTAGCCTCTGTCAGCACCTGCACTTGCGTGGGTTCTTTGGCACATTGATTTTCAGGAGCACTGAGCACTGGTCATCTGTGCAAACATCGAAGAAAGCATTCTCAGTGTTTTCTCCTTTTCCCCTCTCAGAGAAAGAAATTAATGAGGGGGGAAATGCCTTAGAACAATTGTGAGAGCGGCAATTGGAGGCAGAAGCAAATATTGCCTTGCTCACATGCTATTTATGCATATGCCCAGGCATTTATCTGCTCTGTAATAGCACATGTGCATTGACATCCAGAATTATTGTTTTCTCTTCCACTGTCTCAAACATTCTAAAGTGCATCGTGAAGAGGGATTCACAGCTATTATGCAGAGACAGCCCAAAGCAAGCCATTGTGTGGCAAAATGATGCGAACTGCGTAAATAATGTTGTTTCCCCCCCAAATAACCCTGGGTTTCATTTGTTAAATCAAGTATCTCTGTAATTTGATTTTTTGAAATGAATGTTTACAACTGATTAATAGTGTGGAGGAGGTAACAGCGCAGTGGTTTTAGCCTTTAATGCCTATAACTTTTTAAGTTTTTTTGGACTTCATAAGTAGCTGTAGCTCCAAAGGGTTGTGGCATACTTTCCAGCTTTTGTTCAAGGAAAGTTGGTGAGCTTCACATGCACACCGTACTTTGAAAGCGCATGTCAGTATGCTTTTCATTATGTTTTATCATCGATAATCTGTAATGTGTTTTTAATGTTGTACACCACCCAGGGATCTTTTGACAAAGGGTGGGGATATAAATTGAAACAACAACAACCTTCCCCCAAAGAATCATGGGAACTGTAGTTAGTTGAGGGTGCTGAGAATTGTAACTCTGTGGGGGTAAACTACAGCTCCCAAGATTCCCAGGATAGTGGATGTGAAGGGTTGATAGTATGAGGTTGATAGAGGGAGTGTGGCTTGGACACAGTTCCAAGGGCCAGACAGAGATGCCTGGAGAGCCACATTTGGCCCATAGGCTTGAGATTCCCCACCCCTTTCTTTCATATGTGGTGGACCTGTAAATGGGTAAAAGGGTGTTGGGAAATAATCCATAATGAATTGAAAAAAATGTTTAAAAGTACTTTCAAGAAAGCCAGAGTCCTTTTTGTTGGGGATAATTCAGACGGAAATTCCCAGGTGTCAAAGAAGGTTATTTATGTATGCCATCACTGCAGCCCATGTTTTGTTAGCCCAAAAATGGGAAACAAGCGAAATCCCAATTAAAGAAGAATGGCTACTTAAAGTGATGGAATATGTGCCACTTGCGGGCCTAACATATAGAATAAGAGAACAAGAATAACATACATTTAAAGAAGATTGGAAAATGTTTATTCAATATATGGGGGGGGGGAATTGCGTACACTTGAAAACATTGGCAGCATTAAGATAAATTCAACAGTGTAAATAAGTTTTGATGGATGTAACAATGGAATACTGAATGGTTTAGTTTATGTAAAATATGCAGGGATTTATATTATGCAAAATGAACCATGGAAAGAGAAGAAGGGAAGTCACTGACATTTTAAGGATGTTTAAATGAATATTCTAAATTGTAAAACAGAAAATTTAATTTAAAAAATGTGTGTGTGTAGATATGAGAGATTCCCTGCCCCTGTTTTAAAAGAAGGTCAACCAGCAATTTCAAGTGGATAAAAACATCATCCTTTAAAAGCATTTGCAAGATAGATAAAAGCAACCTTGTAATTCCACCCATCCTCTGCAGGCACGCACACACTCTGTGATTTGATGACCTCTTTTCTGCTCTCCCCATTCAGGACAGTTCTGTTTACTTTGACCTCAGTGGTTGTGCTCATCATCACAACTGACTGGATCAGCTGGGACAAGTTGAACCGTGGATTCCTGCCAAGTGACGAGGTTTCGCGGGCCTTCTTGGCTTCCTTCATCTTAGTGTTTGACCTTCTGATTGTCATGCAGGTACATTGTCTCAATATTTCTTCCAGGGAGTGCTGAAGTTGCTTTCTTGCTAGAGTCCCCCCACTCCAGCCTCTGCTGTTCTGCCAAGGCTTTATAAAGTCAAATAAATGTTTGTTTCACAGCCGCTATTAATAGATTTGCATTACATCAGTGTTCTTGGGTGGGGAGGGGGGGAAGGTTTTAAAAGCTACTTGGTTTTTGCTTATAAAAAAAAAATCTGATTATTGCCAGCTTTGTTCTGCCAGGGTTTTGTGACTGTAGAAATGGGCAGTTGCCGTTTGCCAAAATGGAATGGAAGAAAAGGAGGAAATAAAAGGGAAGTTGTTTGTGATAAAAAGGCCTCCATTGTGAGGATGCAATAACATACCGAGGCAAGGTTTACAAAACTATCAATGTACAATCTGTGGTTATGTGGAATTAACAACCGTTCTCAACAGGCAGTCTTTCCCCCCTTTGTGCCAGCAAATTCTCACCCAGTCTAGCGGCAGCTTGTTGTGTCAGATTTCTTCCTACCAACCAGTGTTTCTAAGGAGATAGTTTTTTGTAGACCATCCAGGCTTTGCTCTTTCAAATTTCACTGCTACATTGGGAGTCCTGCACAAGAGAAGAGCAAAAATGTCTTCATGTGGCCTTTCAACTCTGCCACCATTTGAATATTCACACACAGACACACATACACACATAGGGCTCTGGCAGACAAAGTAAGAATTTTCTTTGGTTTCAATTGACTTTTTTTGTCACTGACTATTTAGAGTAGAGTTTGCCAATGTAGAGGGACACGGGTGGTGCTGTGGGTTAAACCACAGAGCCTAGGACTTGTCGATCAGAAGGTCAGCGGTTTGAATCCCCACAACGGGGTGAGCTCCCGTTGCTCGGTCCCCGCTCCTGCCAACCTAGCAGTTCGAAAGCACGTCAAAGTGCAAGTAGATAAATAGGTACCACTCCGGCAGGAAGGTAAACGGCGTTTCCATGTGCTGCTCTGGTTTGCCAGAAGCGGCTTAGTCATGCTGGCCACATGGCCCGGAAGCTGTACGCCGGCTCCCTCGGCCAATAAAGCGAGATGAGCGCCACAACCCGTTGTCTGCGACTGGACCTAATGGTCAGGGGTCCCTTTACCTTTATCTTTGCCAATGTAGTGCCTTCAGGATGTTGTTGGACAACATCTCCCACCATCCCTGATCTGACTGGTGTTTGTGGGGGATGGAGTCAACCACATGAGGAGGCCCATGGTATATCTACCACTTAGCTTCTAACCATGGTGGCCTTAGAGTCAATGTAGTTGGCAGAGATTGGTGGGTTGGTGAAGGCAGGGTTGTGTTGCTCACTTGGCTTCCTGATGGTGAGCATTGCTGCCAAGGGGAGAAGGGGCAAGGCATAGGGAGCTTAGCACAGTGTGGATGTGGCAGCTGCTGCTGGCAGTGTATCAGAACAAGTGTCAGCCATAAGATCTTCTCTCATTAACCTCGGGATCTTGTAGCCAGGAAAACTGGTGGGGAAACTGTTTCTTCCTTGTGTTTCTTCATAGTGGAATATGTCTAAGCCATCTCCAATCTCGTTCTACTCACCATTTGTGGTCTGGATTGAGTAGGTTGTTCTGTAGGTGGCAGCTGTGTGGATGGTTCAGAGGGTTAGACCCAGTGGCATAGCGTGTGTTGCCAGTGCCCAGGGCCATGTGGAGGAAGTTGAGAGGGAGGGCGATGGATAGAGTACTCATGCACATTCAACTGCCCAGCAGTCTCCACATCACCCAAGAGATCGCAGCTGCAGAGATAAGAAAAGAGTTGTTTGGTTGTTTGGAGATGTCACTTCCTAGTTCACATGGAGAAGCCATGTTCAATGGAGCCCAGCTCTGTGCCCCCGGTACACCACTGGTTAGACCAGCCCTTGCCAATGTGGTTTCCCTTCAAATGTTTTGAACTACAAGTCCCAGCACCTGCTGGCTGGTCCAAGACATCTGGAGGGCAAAGACTAAGTTGGCCTTTTTTCTCCCAACCATCCTGTGCTTCTATCCTTCAGTGCAGTTCTACTGAGAATGCCAAAGCAATATGTGATGTAATGGTTGGTTCCAGTAGGCAGAAACCTGGCTTAATAGTATGCCTCTAAACTTTGGTTTAATGGGGGAAACTATGAAAGTGTGACCGTCTCTTTTACAACGCGATGCAGTTTTCCTTCCACTTTTGTTTTGCTTCCCCAACCCACTATTCACATTGTGTTTAATAAGATGCAAGAGAGCTTCTAACAAATGGATCCACTTTGTGTGGCCGCAATGAGAAACATGAATACGAATAGCCCCTACATTATCCTATGCAACACTGAATATCATTATACTGAAGGCACAGGATGCTGCCACCATTATTACTAAATCATTCCTTTGACTATGAAAAATGAAGTCACCATAACATGACCTTGAGGGTATCGAGCTAAGAGGGAAACTTCATTTGAAAATCCTTGGCTTCAGTGCTCCTTCATATATATATATATTTACTGTGCAGAGTAAGTCTTAAGTTTAATTGCATTTTTGAATGATGTTTGCACAGCAGAGTTGTTATTTATTTAAAGATATTTATCCAGGATGCACACAGCGGAGGTGACTCATCTTATTTACAAGGTGGCTCCGGTACCCGCAAATTGCCATTGCAATAAAGTTAGGCCGACTCAGGCTGGTATTAAATTACAGGTTGAAATAATAATAATTGCAGTAAAGGCCTTCTAACCAAACTAGGGACCAACCAGAAGTGCCCTAAATGCTCATATAAATTTGGTTCAGTTGTACTGAGAATGGTAGTTTCCACTTGTGGATTATTTAATCTTATATAACAGGAGAAGCCAATGTGGTGGCTATCATATGGACTACAACTCCCATCATCCCTGAATAATCATCCATCCTGCCAGGGCTGATGGGAGTTGTAGTCTAACATCTGGAGGGCACCGTATTGGCTACTTTTGCTGCACACCATTTCCTGTGATTTCCTCCAAATTGTTACTACTTTATCTGCAACTAACTTTAGTAATAGAAACAGAACAGGACTGAGCCACAGTTTCTCAGTAAATAATTTCCTAACAGGTTTTTTTTTTTTTGAAAAGCAATATTTTTGAACTCCTGAATGAAGCTGTGGATCCAGTCTTAATATTGCTTAATATTAGTTTAATATTACTAACAGAAGCCATGAGCTTTGTCCCTATTCCTCTCAGTCCTCTGCTTCCTTAATCCGCCAACATGAACTAATAATCATAGAGGGTGATATCCTGCATTAGCCACTCTCAGAATACAGTCACTTAAGGCAATTAAGTAACAGAATCAAATTATTTAAGTCAATTGATTTCAGTGGGTCTCCTTGGCAATAAGTGTTGGCTGTCACCCAGAGTTCAATTCAACATTAAAGTGAGCCATATCCTCTCAAAATAAATATGTATATAATTTATTGAAAATTTCCTTTGTTAAGCTGTTCCTAAACTATTGGACAATTTCAGTTCTCCCCTGGATAATGTTTGGCGAATTGTCCTCAACCCAATTTCACTGCCCAAAATAGCATGGGGCATTATGGGAGGCCATTTCCACTCAACTGTAACTACCAATCATCTAGAATTGGATCCAGATTTAAGTCAGTGGGTCTACTCTAAGGATGACTAAGTTTGAATCCAACCCCTAGTGTGCAAAAGTCATTCTCAGCATTGGGGGGGGGGGGAATTGTTATACTGAATCCCTGCTGAAATGGTTAGGATTTGGTGTTTATTTCAGGCCCAATATTTCAACTCAATACAATGCAACTGTGACTGGCGCCATCGCAGCAACATTTTTGAAATGCATCATATCCCATCATGCAAGGCAATGGACCAAAAGTTGGGAAGTGAGGTTTTGGAGTCCAGGATGATACTGAGCCCCCAGCATATACACACATATAGGACCTGTTTTGCACTTGTGCAATATCACTTCACCAGGCAGTGTATGTGAATATTGCATCCACATGAGGGTTCAACTGTATGAATCTTTCCAAATTCGTCAGCACCCTCCTGTATAGTTGTGTTATTCTCATACTTTCCTCTGTGCCATGGGGCCACAACAGACAGTGAAGTACTTCTCATGATGCTGAACAAGTGTATGTGCAGTTTGCGAAGAAGGCTTAACAGATTTTTGTAGCTGCGCTTATATTTTTAACTGCTGTTTGCTCATCTCACTTTACAAGAATTATTGGCCTCGAGCTGATGGAGCCAATTTAAGTGCAAATATACTGTGTTCCATATGTGCCACTGTACACTCTGAGAGGTAGTGGGAGAGAAAACAGCTTTACCAATATGTAGGCAATACTGCATCAATTCTGCTTGATGCAAATTGATGTAGCGGCAAATAAACTTCTGGAATTTGTGTGTGGGCAGAAGCCATAGAGAGTCAGAACTGGAACAACTGGGACAACAGAGCTAAGGAATCTAAATGAACAGCCGATAGAAATTTCAGCTGTGGTCTCGGGCACAAATTTACTTGAAACAGATGGATTGTACGTTGTTTTTGTTGTTGATGATGATGATGAGAAATTGTCCTTTGCAGTTTGGATACAAAAGAGGGTGAAAGTGGTCACAACCATGGATTTTTTTTTCAGCCAGAACTCACCAGAAATCAGCTTTGGCACCTCTCATGTGATACCTCACATGTATACCTTTATACCTGAAGGAGCGTCTCCACCCTCATCATTCTGCCCGGACACTGAGGTCCAACGCCGAGGGCCTTCTGGTGGTTCCCTTCCTGGGAGATGTGAAGTTACAGGGAACCAGGCGGAGGGCCTTCTCAGTAGTGGTGCCCGCCCTGTGGAACACCCTCCCATCAGATGTCAAAGAAATAAACAACCACAGTGGACACTTGGGTTGCGAATGTGATCCATGCGGGAGGCACATTCGCAACCCACAGTGTTCGCAACCTGCAACCCGCGCGTCTGCACACACGCGGGTTGCGATTCAGTGCTTCTGCGTGTGTGCAAGCGCCGAAACCTGGAAGTAACCATTCCGGT